AGTGGTATGTGTCAGTCGTGTACAGCAGGTGATGGTGACGTATACCGAGAGAAATATATGAAAGCAGACCGTGTCTGTGTGTCACGATCAATGTAACGTCAAGTGCTGTCACGTGTGATAGTTGTTGTAGGTTGTAGTGTGTTGTTATGCTGTGTGTACCGTGTCTCCGATGTAGAGCCATCAGTGGGTTGTTGCAGCATTATCTGAAAAAGTGCCATTTTCCACTAGCTGTGTTAGTCCTCAGGTGGATCATTTTGACCCAGTAGGGGCTTAACAGGTGTTGTCATAATGTAAGCTGTGTCTGAATGATGTTTCACCTGGTTACCACCTGATGTAATTCTCCCATCCCTCGTCACCTGTTCTTGTTGTGTGATTAGTCTTCGTTGTATTTAAGTTCTGGGTTTTCTGTCTGTCTTTGTCGGTTCGTCTTGTGCATGGACTAGTTCTGTGGTGGAGTGTTCTGTCATGTATTTGCTATATAACTATATATAATATGTATATATATCCATAGCCTTGACAATAAATGAATTCTCAGTTTATATCTGCATTTGGGTCCTTGCCCTTGTTTCACAACGTGACAAGCTGTGAGCTAAGTTATATGCTTTTCAGACAAGGAATGAAACAAGCAGAATACCAGGAAAAAGAGGAGGCATTGCCGAATGCCATCCAGTAAGGAATTGAAAGGACAATTAATGAATTTAGATATCACTGTTTGTAACCATCAGGATCCTACTGTTTAATAAATGAAAATGACGAGAAGACATTTTCAAGTTCAACTCTGCTGAGGTAAATCAGTAGACCTATAACATGTTTCTCCATCTACCGTTATTTGCCACGCACTTAACTGTCTGAGGGAAACACTTGCAACAGTGATTGTACTGTTGATTATTTTTCCATGAATTGACTCAACTTCTATTTAATGATTTGAACTTCATATTTTATCATTTATGTGTCTTTGTTTGGGGGAAATACTTGAAGTACTCTTCTAATACTCCAGTGTTTGGCGAAGTACCTTCCAAAATGTCAATATTATTACATATTACTTATTACTCTCTTTGAAAGAATAAGTTACACTTACAATATTTACTTCTCTGAAGCTGTAATGAGTTACACTACTTTAGTTACTATTTTAGTTACTTTCACCAAAATAACAGCAAAAGAATAGCTAGGTATTTTAAATGCTAAAATGTAGTTAGTGCAGCGCTCATTATGCATCCAGTGAAGCGGGGCCAATGGTGGGGTATAGCATAACAACTGTGTTAGCCCTTAAGGCATACTAACAACTTGTATTACACGGCTTAGTTGAATACCCGATTCTGATTGTAAATTCTCTAACATGTGACACGTTGTTAATAACCAGCCAGTACAGACAGCTGTCAGGACTATAATGAAAGGTTAACATATTGTAAATCAAGGCAAATATATATTTTAAACCATGCTCAATGTTTTGAAAATGGCAAACATTGAAAGCGCACAAAGTATATTATTAAAACCAATGTTGCCTACTACATCATCACCTTGGTCCCATCAATATACGGCTGGAAGAGAATATTTACTGTGCTTGAAAACTGGTATCACATCATCATGTGAGGTTTGACTGTGACCGCTGGAGAACATTTTCAGCTGCAACATCAGCTCGTTGATAATAAGCTTAGTATATGAAGATATTTCTTGTAGCCATTCGTGGTGAAGGCCATCTGTGCTATTGTATGCATTATTTTTGACCCCGACATTTCTACAGGCATGTCCAGAATATGATACTATTTCAATGATATTCTAGCCATTGTTCTATTTTTTACCACAAGTGCAAAATGAACGCCTTACCCCCACTGTACAGGCGGGTAAGTTGTTTTAGATATACCTGGCACCTGTGGGCCGCAGAGGGCCGGCGTAAGTTTCAGGCGACGAAGACTGCTGCTCCGGGGCCGGCGAGTCAGGCGGCGGGAGTAAGCTAGTGTCCACAACGGAGGGTAACGTGATGTCCGCATCTGACCTGTTGCTACTGTCTGCAGTAGATGCAGTGTTGCTGGCGTTTAGTGATGGTTGCTTTAACCATTTTCGTATAAATGATTATCCACAGATCAGATGTGTGTCACTGCTGTGGAAGCACTTTGGAAATGATGCACGTGCAGCGGAGCAGGTCACGCGCACCTGACACAATTTGTTGTTTGTATTTTTCGCTACGTTCTCTTTTTTGAATGGTTGCATAACGTTCAACTTCCCCGAAGATCTCGACGCGAAGCCTGAAGGGTAAACACCAGGTTTACTAATCTACCCGCACAATTTGTCCGGTGTCGGAATGTCTCGCTATGTTAGTACATTCTTAAAAAACAAAACACCATTTAATTTCGGGTTAAAATGTGTTGTAACTGCGTTACTGAGCATTGTAACGGGTAATATATTACCCACATTTCATTAGTAATGCGTTACATTACTTCGTTACAGAAAAAAGTAATATATTACTGTAACTCCGTTACTTTTGTAACGCGTTACACCCAGCACTGCTAATATCAGAGTAGCACATGATAACAAAGGCCCTACGTAGCTGTGTACATAACAGGATGTATGATTACCTAGAAGAGCGTTAGGACACACTGTTTTAGGTTTATGATAGCTATGTGACAACGATTAACATGATTCAGCCTCTACAAACAGCAAATAGCAAATAGCCACCCTGCCATACACCACCAATGCTACAGCTCGAGTCAAGGAGCACAGGGATGAACCATGCCAATATTTTAACAGTATCGGTGCAGTGCCTTTTCAGTGGGGCAAGATATAGAAAATATGTATGCCTATCCTGCTATTTGTGTTTATTCTTTTAATCACACAGCGTTAAGAAAAAATAAAAATGTGAACAATGAACAGCGGTAGATAGTAACAAAGTACATTTGTACTGCTCCACTCCCATTCGGTAAATAGTGTACTTTATACTGCGCTACATTTATTTGATAACTTTAGTATCTTTGAAGATTCAGAATACTACAAAAATATAATCAAGAAATAGTTTATCATGTATTATTATAGGTTAAGATAAAATGCTCTGCAAAAAAAAATAGCATGTAACTAAGGGAATTATACACTAGCGGCCAATTATGAAACTTGTTGTTTAATCTGTGGCCACCATTGATACAGTGTGTGGCACATATCTGGTAAACCATGGCCTGCAGTGGTGCAGGAAAAAATAGTGGAGCAAAAGAAACATGGCACTCATAACTTGCTAAAATCATGCAAAAATATATAAAAATGTTCTTACAGAATGCGTATTAAATAATGATGACTATATATTTGTAACTGAACATAGTGTCTGCAAAAAGCTCCAAGTCGTGTACCTGCCAAAACACAACTGAAAAAGGTGCATTATTCTTTGATTTTTCAAGTTTCCTGCAGCTTTTAGTATACAAATGTATTAATTAAATAGAAATGCAGCTGTAGTAACACCAAATGTAATTTTGCAATGTCTCACACACACATTACGGACATTTTGTCATTGAAGCTGTCATCTACGAGTTGAAATATTCAAGAGATAAATCGAAATGTGGTCTTTGAATCACTCAGTCTTCTGCTATATCTACTCTCTACTATCTATGTCCTTCAGCAATTTAAACTGACATAGGGAACACACCTATGGTGAAGGTGTTGGAGCTATAAAGTGAAGAACATAGATTACTTCATTTAAATAATTCATCTGATGAATAATGGAATATGCATAACCACCTAATAAATGATATTCATGAGATCCTTCGCCCATGTCTTCTATGCATCCTACATGACAGCGTGTTGCTTTTGTTATCTATCACAGGGCTATGTACAGATATCCAAGAGCGATAATACAAAAAGCTCCTATTGAATGCTTGATGACTTGTTGATACCTATTCCCCTATCTTTATATCCGAAGTAAACCCTGTGCACACTGTACACCTACCGTGGTTAAATCTGGTTTGACAGTATAGATGCTCTCATCATATGCAAATGTGATGAGGATTCACTTTGTGAGATTATTGAGATGTTTCAAGGCTGACTGGTTTGGTTCACTGCACATAATCAGCAGAAAATCAGTTGTATTTAAATGATGTATCAAGGGAGCATAAGACAGAAGGATGAAAATGGCACATTTTCTTATAAAATAATTGATATGAATAAAGTAAAATACATGCAGCTGGAATACTGCATGTGTCTCTATACAGATTATAATTCAAATCACAAGGTCCAGGTCTATGATTTAGTTCAAGTTGAAGGAAACCAGATATATTTAACCTTTGAATGGTTGGAGAAAGTACCACATGATTAAAATACATATTTCACAGCTATGAAGAATGTTTTTTTCTCAAAAAGGAGTTGGAAAAAATAGATGTAAAGAGGATATCATACGATAAATCAATGATCAAGCATGACCTGTAGCTAGAAGCAGGTCGGCTTTATTCACATATTAACTTTAACCTGTTAAACCCTAAATCTGTTTTTCAGGTCTCAGGCTCGAAAATGACATGCCCAGAACAAATGACTATATCTTCACTTCTAAAACGGGTACATTTATAATCTTTTTTCTCAAAGCAATTTAAACCTGTTGGTTGGATGTAGAAGAGTCAGAATCAATATAGATTTTTTTCAGATTGAACATAGTTAACATTTTTTAATTATAGTATCGGTCCAAAAACCACCCTTGAATGATGGGATAGTAGACCAAAAGCTTTAGGAATCCAAACTATAACATATAATAAGTACCCTGTATCAAGATTGATGCAAAACAAGTGACATTTGACCTTTTTTTAGAGAGGTTTAGCAAAAATAAAACACCTGGGGTCATTTGGGTGCATTTTCCATATGTCTGGAACCCATCGGTCGATTTTGATGATTGACACCTCTTTTGGACCGTTAGAGCCAATAGAATCGAGAGGGAGTTGCTAAATCCATCTAAACATTACCATTGGTGAATGAGAGTGATGCGCAGCCAGCATGCCCAAAACCGGAAGCTCTCATACACTCTCATAGCAGCTATATATGACAACTAAAGGTTATTGATCATTAGTATATGATGATGTTAAAGTTGAGTCCCAAAAATGAGAGATCACAACTTTTTTTTTTACCTTCCAGCCAGGAACGTCCTTCATGAGAATCGCCTCCTCTTCTAGATTTTCCCTCAGCATCCGCAAGGTTCTGGCATGAGTGGAAATTAAAATGTTAACTGTTGTAATTGAGGAGAGTCAAGGCCATATGAAAAAAAAAAAAATCGTATCGCATTTGTCAGTGAGGCTTTTATGTGTCACCTTCGGTCGGTCTCTGCCTGCATCAGGGGCATCAGAGCGATCCTGGCTTCCATCTCCTCGATTTGTAAGCGCCTGCAATGCACACACGTCACCACTAGTTACAGACTGATTGTGAAATATTACACGTAAACACACTCTTTCACTGTAACACACATTTGAACCAAAAGCAAAATTACAAGAATGACCCTACCTTCTCTCTCTGTTCCAGCTAAAAAGCCTCCAATAGCCAAACACCATGATGCCTATGCCAATGCCAAACATGCTATATCCTGTTGATGAAAGAAGGGGTTAGTGACAGTTTAAAAAGGTCCCCTATTATACTGTTTTTCATTATATTCATCAATATAAACTTTCAGAATCTCTTTACACAGAGGGGACACAGGTTTATGTATAAAATACGTGAAAGAGTGGATTTTGCATAATAAGTGACCTTTAAAGTAAATTTGACAGCGTTTCCCACAGATCTGAAATATACTTGGTAGTAACAGAGAACAGGGGGGGAAACCCAGGAGCAGCCTTCCTCGACATTGAGAAACACCCACTGGCCGTTTCTCAATGTCGAGTAAACCTGCTGCAGAGCCACTATTTCAAGTATACTACGTCATTGAGTGGCGCCGAAGGACTGTTTAAATGCATGTTAAATGCCCAGCATTCTGCGCCACTCTATGACATAGTATACTTGAAATAGTGGCTTTGCAGCAAGTATACTCGACATTGAGAAACGGCCACTGTCTAAACTAAATACTGCCGTGATGAAACGCCATATCATGGATTATCAAGGATTATTTCTGAAACAGTATGGAGCTCAAAGGCTTTCTCTCTTGCCGGTTATACCACAAGGTGAGTTCCTTTTTATTTCCTGCTTCGTCACACACATGCTCTCCAGTACAGGTTAGCTCTGAGTGTTAGCGAAGCTAATGTCAACACCGACCATATTAGGTCCAAAACAGTTGGGCATTGTTTCTGATAGCAACTTTCTGATAGTGCCGTGGGTCCACATTTCCGATATTACGTCATTTCGGACGCAAATCTGGATCAGCTCCGTTGTACCCCCGCTTTTAGAGATTTGGGTACGGAGGAAAAGAGAGAGGGTTTTATTTTTTGTATTAGTACTACTTTGTACTTTTACCCAACTGCAATTCAGAGGTTAATAGTGTACTTTTACTCCAATACATTCATTTTAAAGCTTAAGTTACAGATATGGATTAATGATAAAAAAAATATGTAATCAACACTTACAACTGGATAAAGTAAATAAAGATTTTAAAATGTGTTCCACCTTAAACAGCTGTGATAATCATATAAATACATCAATAATTGTGATCAAAACATATACTATATTATTCTGAAAAAGGCTAATCTGCAAAATTAGTAGGCCTACTTTTACTTGAGTAAGATTTTGATTGCAGGACTTTAACAGAGTATTCCTACACTGTGGTACTTCTACTTAAGTACAATATCTGCGTACTTCTTTCACCTCTGATGTGACTTCCATACTGACGACAGCAAGTAGACCTACTAGTGCTGTGCAAATCATTTGTTTAATATTAGGTCTCAGGAATTTCACACAACTAACTAGGCTGTGTTTGCCTTAGTCTTGGAAATTAACTTCACAACATGAAAAAAAAAGCTCATGTGTATTTTAGAATATTATAATACAATTGGACTTGCAATGAACCGGGTGCCCGTGTTGGCTAGTTAGCAAGTAGCTATCATCACTGTCAATAATGACTCTTCAATGTTATTCAGCGACACACTTTTATAATGTACGCTGCAGTCAAACATACGTATTGTTTGTTTCCCCATATAGAAAGCATGAAATTAAAACACTAAAAGAACGTTGACATTAAACATTTTACTATATAAAAGCTAAAGTGTCTACCTGACCCGTTAGCATTAGCCTCTGTTCAGTAAGTAGCAAATGTCCTCTGTCCTGTGCATACTAACAGCTCGAGTGTGTGGACTTGTATATTTCAATAAATGCGTATGAGATGCAAGTACCAGACAGTCCTCGTTTAGGCAGATTCCTCTTGTAATCAAACGGAGCATATCCTCCCGCAGGAGGCATGTCCTGCTTCACCTTGGACCCCGCCATCTTCCTCCGGCCTTCTCCCAAACACGCCGGTGACGTCACTGCAGCACTTCCTCTTCAGTCCGGAACAAGCCTGTGCGGCGCTCTACCGCCCCCACTGCTTTATTCTCTAGCACAGGGGTGTCAAACTCAATTTCATTGCGGGCTACATTCGCATAAAGGTTGCACTCAAAGGACCGGTTGTAACTATATAAATATATATATATAAAATAATGTATTATATTACATTATTGCCTCTGAATTGGATTATTATCGGATAGGTTAATAACTTCATCATTAACTACGTCTGAAAGCAGAAGTCCAGGGCAAATAATTGCAAGTCTCTTCAGTTATCATGTCACAATACGAGATGCATTGTGGGACATGTAGTTTATGGACAATGTGCTTCTGTAAATCGGCATGTAACCGTATAATAAACGTATTATATTCTTTGCAAGCTCTTGAGGGGCCACATAAAATCAAGTCGCGGGGCGGATTTGGCCCCCGGGCCTTGAGTTTGAGACCCCTGCTCTAGCAGATCTTGAGATCATTTTAATAAATGCGGCTTGTATTTGCTCAGAGTTTTGATTTATAGACAGCTAAATTGTTACTGTAGAGACTTGAAACTGGGCTGATCAAATAACAAAACAACGTCTTAGCTTTATTAATATATTGGCACTTGACATCTTACCTTGAAATCCTGACCATCCCTCTTCCTTCTAACCACTTGACAAAATTTAAATTTAAATATATAAATTACTTCTATTCAGAATTAATTATTAGGCAGCAAAATGCCCCTGTAATACATATATTGCTATATTTAATACTATTAAATTGCATTTGGTGTAAGGTGCATTGCCATGTTGTAAATTGTTCATGAAGAGAACATTATGTACTTAATATCCTGTTGGTTCAGTCTGTAAAAAATAATCACACTTCATTAGTTTACCATCAACACCACACGTTGTATGTGTGTATTATGTCAAAAGCACACTATATATGTCTCTCTAGGTATTAAAGTAGAAGCATGTCTTATTTCTGTCCATAAGAGATTATTGTACTTAAGTAAATGTATTGTATTCTAATAATTTATTTTATGGAGAACGTGGAGAAACATTTAATACATTTGTATCTGACCTGCCTTTGTTTATTTTTTGCTAATCAAAATGTACATTTTTCGTATTGCTTTCTTTTTTTTCTCTTCAGTGTCTCATCAAATTTGGACCATCATTGGAGGATTTGCATTGTTCGGATGTACACTTACCTAATTTGTACATATGCAATAGTAAATACCATGGATTTATTGATTAAACAAAGGAAGCATGCCATGATCATATGGGAAAGAGCACTGATTATGTCCCATAAGTGTTCTTTTGTAAATGAACTCTTCAACTGGAGTTATATAATCCACACATAATAAATAAGAACAAGTGTTTAAAATGTATATATTTTTTTATTTCTTAGGAGCTAGGAAAAAAAGTAAACCAAATAACTTTTTTAATAATTTGTACAATGCAGGTCAAATCAGGAAGCAGATAATGTATGTAATATGGTGATCAGGGGTACAAGAAAAATATCTTGAGTATTCCAAGCTCTTGGTAGCTGAGATAGTCCCTTTAAAATCGGATTGAGGAATACATGAATTCTGCGTATTGTGATGATTATAGTTCTCCAGAGTGGAAAAGTCAGCTCCTTTAGAGTTAGCTTTTTCTCAGCAATGGCAAAACACTTAACAAAATCTTACAATGTTGACATTAATATAAAATAAGCAAATTACAGATGGTAATTACAAATGAATGAAACACCATGCTTCTTCAGCAGATGTGCGAAAGAACAGAGCAGTTAAGGGAAGGCATGCTGTTAAACGGGAGGAAAAAAGATAGAGTAAACTCCACATTTGTGGAAACCACAATATATTTAAATATAATTGAAAAACAAAATAACTTACTGTGAAAACAAAATCAATCAAACCTGGCAATGTTCCAGATTTCTTTTTTTAGCTCAGTTATGTTATTTCTGCTCAAAATAAGTGTATTTTGTTAAATGTGAACACTTGGATATAACTATAACCATTCAAGTGTCAAAAATTTGTGTCAGTTTGACCCACATCATGGCAGAAAGGGCTTATACGCCCGGTGTACTTTTTTTTTTTTTTTTTAAATCAAAGTACTATTATATAAACACCCAGTCTGGAGAATAGAAGTACCCAGTACTCCTTCAAGTATAAGCTTTTTCTATGACCCAGTCAAATCCAAATGGTTTCTGCACAATTACCAAAGAACAGCGAATCTCAAAATAAACAACAGTAAATAACAAAACTAAAACAACAATCATACAAAAAGGTAAGGAAGGAACGGCTCTTCACTTTGAGAGATTGTATTTGCTTAACAGTCCTCCGGGGGTTGCTGTTGGCCATATTATTGGAGCTAAGGAACTTGCTCAAAAACAAAGCAGTACTATAGTATAATCTACTTCCAGGTATTTGCAGTCTGGGAGAGCGAGGATCGAGAGGGGATCATGTCCAGCAGGTACTCCCTCTGACGAGCGTCGACGCTGGCTGACGTCTTGTGACCTGTCAGGCTGGGGTTCACGTAGGCCATAGTGACTCCTGTGAACATGCAAGAGAGCAGCAGGTCAATATGTGGCGCAAACTGCTAAATGCCCTTCCAAGTAGAACAATCATTTCAGAACGCCTGACGATATATCAACCCGTTTCCCAATAGAAAACAGACAGACTTAAAAGATAATGAGAAACATCTCACTCTAAGGATTAGGAGTGACACCCAAGGAAAACTAACAAACCACCAAACTGGGGGACTAAAAGAGAATTATTGAGATCACTGGCAGGGGTAGGACTGGAGAGTGGGATTGCCTTGTCCGAAAACATTTCCTCCTCAACTTTTGTATAAGATTCCTTAACTTTAGAAATGTTTGAAAGTAGGATGTTCAAGGATTGCTTTGGGACCAGACAGGAATTTGAAAGAGAGCCGATGTCAGTCGGCAGGCTGGTATTAATGTGAGTCTACCTGTATTGCTGTTGCTCTGCTTCTTCCATGCAGTGGATGAGGCACTACCATCGCTGATATTCCTGCCGCCGGCGGTTCCACTGCTGCTCACCTTTGAACTCTGGACAGAGCGGTGGGGATGCATGCTTCCCTGGCCGGCTGACCAAAGCTGCAGCCGCCACTGCACTCTGCAGCTGGGAGGAGGAGGAGAAAGAGTGGGGGACGCCCCTCAGCCCCAAGGATGAGACACCATGGGACAGCTGGCCCTGGGAACTCTGAGGGGAGTTAAGAAACATACAGTGGATCGTAAGTTACAGTTCTCTGGACCGCACAAATGCTTCTCTTTAAGATAACAAATTACTCCAACCTGCTTGATTGAGTGATGGTAGACCATGTTGGATCCTCGGCTGGCCTGTTGGAGGTGGTGCATAGAGGACGCTCTGGCGTGTGCCTGCTTCAGCTGATGGGACACCAGCTTCTCAGCCTTCATCGACGAAGAGGAGCTACTGCGAGACACTGATGAGGAAGTCTGCTGAAAAATGCGCTGCTCTATTTCCTGCTCTTGTTGCAGTGCTTGACAACGCCGCTTCAGCCTATTGGTATGCTCTGCCTTAAAACCTTTTTCTGATTGGATGACATACAGTGTTCACAGAGGAGTGCCCCGCCTTTTGTCTAGTCATGTCTCCAGCGGCAGGTGAAGTCGGTTTTGCACTGGGTGCAGGTGAAGGGCTCTCTGGGAATGGTCTTGGACAGTGCTACACCTGTCTTTCCTGGATGGAGTGAGATGGGAAACT